TCATTGGTGTTGTTGTTGCAATTTCTGTTGCTGTTGTTGTTATTGTTGTTGTTCCCAGGGGATTATGATGAATGGATTCCCAGGGAGTCCTAACGATGGATTCCCAGGGGTTCCTAAAGATTCCCAGGGGTTCCTAAGGGGATTCCCATGGATTCCTCAAGATGTCGAGCAGGTTGCGCGCCTCGCCGGCGTGCGCATGTGTCATCGAGAACGCACGTCCATGGAGTCGTGTGAGCAAGCTCCGTAGGATTGGTAGGTTTCAAGGTAAGCTTGTTGGGTTGCTGGTTGCTGGTTGCTGTGGGGAGGGGGGGCCGACCCCCGGGGCTCTAGGTGCAAGGACAGAAATTGACCTCAATCCCCGTGCAACGGGGCTCTAGATGCAGCGTCATCCTTATTGTTCTTGTCCTTGTTGTCCTTGTTGTTGTTGTTGAACTCTAATTTCTGGAAAAATAATTACTGTTGATCCTCCCCGTCCGGTGTACATTGTTTTTTTCGATTGAAGGCCCTTCCTGGGGCTCGCACGCGGTTTTTTTTATCATGGAAAGTCTGGAGGGTCAAACTGCGTTGTTGGCCCCCGGTTTACAACACCAGCGGCTCTCGCCTGATACTTTCTCACAGTTTATTGAAGAATCGCGCTCTCGCTTGGGACTTCCCTGCAATTTACCACCGACTCGCGGCTCCCGCTTGATACTTCCTCACAATGTATTGAAGAATCTCGTTCTCGCTTAGGACTTCGTCGCACCTTACCGCCGAATCGTGGCTCCTGCTTGATACTTCCTCACAATTTTTTCAAATGCCGCTCCTCGACACTCAGAAATCGCGCTCCCGCTATATATTGCCTGGCGGTTCAAGCAGAATTTACGTTTCAACGACACGCCCGCTCGACCCGCCCGTCTGGGCTTGCCCGCCCGACCAGCCCGTGAGGGACTGCAGTCGCCGCTCGCTGCCCTTCGCCCGCCTTCGATGCCCCTCGCTGCCCGTACTGGTTCCGCGGTCGCCTTCGCTCGCTGCCCTTCGTGGCCCGGTTGCTGCCCTCAGTGGCCCCGTCGCTGCCTATTGAGGCCCCGCATCATATGCCCTTCGTGGCCCCCGCTCGCAGTCGCCCGTCGTGGCCCCATATGCATGCCCTTCGTAGCCCCGCTGTCGCCCTTCGTGGCCCTCTCGCTGCCCTCCGTGGCCCTTTTGCTGCCCTCAGTGGCCCCGCTGTCGCCTTTTGTGGCCCCATATACGATTGCCCTTCGTGGCCCCGCTCGTTCGCGCCCGTCGTGGCCTCATATGCGTGCCCTTCGTGGCCCCGATGTCGCCCTTCGTGGCCCCCTCTCTGCCGTTCGTGGCCCCGTTGCTGCCTTCAGCGGCCCCGTCGCTGCCCTTTGTGGCCCCGCATTATATGCCCTTCGTGGCCCCCAGACTCGCGCCCTTCGTGGTCCCATACGCGTGCGTTTCGTCGCCCCGCTGTCGCCATTCGTGGCCCCCCTCGCTGCCCTTCGTGGCCCACTTTCTGCCCTTAGTGGCCCCGCTGTCGCCCTTTCTGGCCCCATATCTGTATGCCCTTCGTGGCCCCCGCTCGTTCGCGCCCGTCGTGGCTCCATATGCATGCCCTTCGTGGCCCCGCTGTCGCTCTTCGTGGCCCCGTCTCTGCCCTTCGTGGCCCCGCTTCTGCCCTCAGCGGCTCCGTCGCTGCCTCCTGCGGCCCCCTAGACGTATGCCCTTCGGGGCGCCTGCTCGTTCGCGCCCGTCGTGGCCCGCGCCAACAGCGGCTCCCGCACGATACTTCCTTACAAGTCATTGAAGGATCGCGCTCTCGCTTGGGCATTCCTTGCAATTTACCACCGAATCGCGGCTCCCGCCTGATACGTCCTCACAGTTTATCTGAGAATCGCGCTCTCGACTGGGACTTTCTCGCAAGCATGCGAATGCCCTTCGTAGCCCCGCTGTCGCCCTTCGTGGCCCCCTCGCTGCCCTTCGTGGCCCCTTTGCTGCCCTCAGTGGCCCCGCTGTCGCCCTTTGTGGCCCCCTCGCTGCCCTTCGTTTTCAAGGGCTTCACCAACCACACGTGGCAGGGAACGAATCTACCCCCCAAAAGGGGGTACGATCGAAGACGAGGAGGGCGGGTATCCAGGGTTTGGGATATGCATATTGAATGACACGCGAGCAGATAAGAGCGAACATGTTTAAGATCATTGTTGTTGTTGGTGGTGGTGGTGGTGTAGTTGTCTTGTTGCTCGGGGGCCAGGGGGCCCATCTGGACTTCCCTTTGTAAAAGACAAGGCCCCAGCCCCGGAAGTCAGGGAGGGGCGCGTCATTTGAAAAACAAACATATCAGATACCAAAGTGGGGACCAACACTCATGTCAACCAACATGTACCTCCCAAGCCCTCGACATCTGGCCTCTCAGTCTTTCATCGTGCCTTGACTGGTAAGTGGCGCAGCCCCTAAGAAAGGAAATGTTGAACATTGTGGAATAGGGAGAGCGCGAGGCGGAAGGGAGTGGAGAAGGTGGGGAGGAGCGAAGGGGGCAAGAGGGAAGGAGAGGTCGGTCGTGGACGAGAGTCATTAGCAAGAGGGCTTAGCAACAGTCGGCGGCGGGCGAGGGGGGGGAAGTGACAAGACGAAGGCCTTCTCAGAAGGCGGCGGGGCTTCTCAGGAGCCCTCGGGCCTCCTGAGAGATGTTCTGCGCCCTCGGGGAAGGTTCCGCGGACTTGCCAGAAGGCCGGGGGACCTCCGAGCCTTCCGAGGAGGCGCGCCCCTTCTCCTTCCCCCCCCCCTCGCTCGCCGCCGACACGAAGGGGGGCGGCGGCAGGAGTTCCAGAGCGAGAGCCCGCGCGGCCCCCAAGGAAGCGACGAGGTCCCGAGCGGGAGCGCGATCCCCTGCCGCGCCGGAGAGATCAAACAGTGGCGAAGCGTCCCGGCGTGCCTGAAGCCCTCCCAAACAATATTCTGAGAACCTTTTGTAGTTTCCACCAAATGTTCTTAGAACATTTCTGGCGGAGTCTGTCTTGTCTTATCAAATCGCGTTTATGTTCTGACCGCATTGTTTTTGTTCTTAGAACACTTTTGGGCTCTAAGAACATTTCGTGGGAGGGCTACACGCCGGGAGGGGGAGGGAGAAGGAGAAGGGGGAGGGGGAGGAGGAGGAGGAGGAGGAGGAGGAGGAGGAGGAGGAGAAGGGTTGGGAGGAGGAGGAGGAGGAGGAGGAGGAGGAGGAGGAGGAGGAGGACCAGTGGACACCCGAGACTCACCAACGATGTTGGAAGACCCCCCCCCTCCAAGCTGCCGCGCCGGAGGGAGCGAACGACGAGGGGGCTGCGAGGGATGCCTCTCCGGGCGAGGGCGCGGCTCCCGGGGACGAGCTGCAAACGGGCGCCTCCCCGCGCGGGGGCGCGGCCGTGCGGCACGGCCTGCGGGGGGCGGCGGTGCGCTGCGGGAGGGCGCTGCCGCAGCCCAGGGGCCAGGGCGCCCCTCCGAGGCTCGCGCCTCCCCTTCGGGTAAAGAGAGGGCGCGAGCCCCGGGAGAGACACCTCGGCTCAAAAAAGGCAAGCATGCGTATTCCTATCTATGTATTTGCATGGGGCCGGGGAGCCCCCCCCCCCCCCCCAGCGCCCCCCCCCATACCGAATTTGGCCCTCCTCGGGCCTCCGGGCAACCGCTCGGACTTCAGACTTTCCGGGAGAACTTCACGAGAGCCCGAAGACGGCCCCAGACGGGTTCCAGGCGCTTCGGCGCGATCCCGAAACGACCCCCAAGAAGCCGTCATACCCCCAAAGATCGCTTCACAAAGTCCCAAGAGCCCTCCAAGAACACTCCCAAGAAGGTCCCAAGATGCAAACATCATTGATTTTCCATTGACTTTCGGTGAATTTGGGGGTTCTCCTCTTTTCGGCTTCCCGTCGCTCCGAGACGGCGGTCATTTGGGCGTCCAAAGTTGCCTGGGAGGCTCCAAAATCGCATCGCAACCATCCGAAAGGGCTTCGAGACAGTCCAAGAGAGCCCCAAAAAGGCACAACAGGGGCCCAAAATGGCCCTAAGAGAGGCGGCCCAAGATGGCCCCAAGACGCCCTTCGAAGCATTCCAGATCGTGGCCCGGTCGTTCAGGGAGACCGCGGTTGGAGGCAGGGTGGCCCGAGGAAGCCCCCAGAGGCCCCCAGAACACGCCCAGGAGGCCTCCAGAAGGCCTTAAGAAAGCCCGAACACCTTTTTGTGAGGTCCCCAGAGGCTCTCCAAGGAGAAGCCTCCGCAAAAACAGCTGAGGAGCATAGGGAGAATGCTCAGCGTATGGCGAGAATGATGGAAAAAACATGGAGGAAGGATAACGAATTACAGATTATGACGGCGATACCGGAAAAGGCAACGAAGAGGTATCGCTAAATTGTCGGCTCGGCTTTCCTGCCATTCCACCTGCATGCCAAACTTCAAACTTCAAGGACCAAGGTGAATGGCGCGAAGCGCCACTGCAGTCTTGTACATATATATATAGATATAGTGTACCGGAGGGCGGGAGCAGCCATGATGGTTATCCAGAAGTGGGAACACCATTTCAACAACAGCCAATTTTAGACTGTTTGCTATTACCTGCTCGCGTGCCACTCAACATGTGTATCCCAAACCCTCGATACACGCCATCTATCGAACCCCCCTTTGGGCATATCTCCCTTACCTGCCACGCGTCAACAACGACAGTGATCGGCACACCAAGAGCAACAAGAACGATCAACAGCGAGCATGCATACTCTGGGCCACGGGGTCCCACTTCCGCCACGCACCCAGGGACGGTGCGAGACTGCTCGGCCCCCTCATCCTTGATAGAACGGCAGAAGCGTGAGTTGTTGGAGCTCAGCGCTGCTTTCTTGGACCGGCGCCAGAGCCCCCTCCCCCCTGGCGTCGCTTCCGGCGCCGCCCCCGGCTCGCTCCGCGCGCCACGGACGCGAATCCGGCGCCCGATCCAAGAAGTCCGCGCGGAGTTCGGGTAGCTTCTGTCTGTGATGCTGCTCGGTTCTTCTGAGGTGAGCCTGCATGCGCAGATCGTGCGCACCTCGAAGCAGGACGAGGGCTTCGACTACCAGAACGCGGACGGCAGCCCCAGCGGATCCAGCGGCGGCGTGGTGCAGCCCAATGGCTCGCACACGTACGCGTGGCATGTGCTCGAAGGTCCAGGGCCGAGGGACGGCTCGAGCATCGGAACGCTGTACTACTCGATGGCCTCAGGGATGGTCGCGGACACCTACAGCGGCCTGAAGGGCCCGCTCGTGATTACCCGACGGGGCTTCGCGAACGCCGACGGCAGCCCGAGGGACGTTGCGAAGGAGTTTGCTCTGGTCTTCGAGGTCACGGATGAGGGCTCGAGCCTTTTCCTCGAGAGGAATTTCGAGAAGTTCGTGCAAGAGCGCCGATCTGTGCGCCTCACCCAGGACGAGGTGGCGGAGCTCTTCGAAGACGCAGACTTCCAGGAGAGCAACCGGATGCATGGCATCAACGGCATGGTGTACGCCAACCTGCGGGGTTTGGAGGCAGAGGCGGAGACCCAGATCCGTTGGTACCTGCTGGGCCTCGGCACGGAGGTGGACCTTCACAGCGTACATTGGCATGGGCACACGGTGCGCTTCGGTGGGCACACCGTCGACGTCATCCAGGCCATGCCGGCGACTGGCGTCACCGTGGACATGTACGCCGACAACATCGGCAAGTGGCTTCTGCACTGCCACGTGAATAATCATTTTGAGGGTGGGCAGGTTGCATCGTACGAGATTGTCGCGAATCCTGTTCGCGGCGAGGGACAGATCTCTACCTGCCAGCAAATGTTCGCTAGTGCCGCAGACGAAAAGATGAGCGCATTCGCATACGACGAAAGCTGGTTCGAAGGTCACCCATTTCAGAAGGAGATCAGTCCATTTTTCCGCGTCGCCTACACAGTAAATTATGCCGAGATGTACTTCGACATGGTCATGGTTGCTCGCACTACAGGCTGGATCGGCCTCGGGTTCTTCGGCTTCGAGGAGGAGAAGAGCCACGCCATGATTGACACCGACATGATCGTTGCATGGGTGCAGAATGGCTCAGTGGAGGTGGAAGACCGCTTTGCGCAAGGCCTGGAAACGCCTAAGCACGACACGACAGTCGGTGGCAAGGACCAGCTATTCAACAAGGAGGGCCAGGAGGCTAACGGAGTCACATACGTGAAGTTCCGCAGATCGTTCAAGCCAGAACATCTAGACGCGTACGACTTCAAGTTCCGCGCCGACATGGAGCAGATCAAGGTCGTCTACGCGTTCAGCAGCATCGGCTCGGACAATCTTGTCTACCACGGACCGACGCGCGGCTACTCGCAGATCCCATGGAACACGAATTGCTCATCCAACTTTTTCTTCAACCTCGGCACCTCGGAGTGCGAGGGATGCGACCGAGGCCACTTTCGCCTTCCCTGGGACCCGACCTCCTCCCTCTCGAGATGTTCGCGCTGCGAGCTGGGAACTCTGGCGGACGTGAGAGGCGAGGATCGCACCATGGTTGAATGCGAGAAATGCGGCTTCGCGCACGCGACGACGATCTACCCAGGCGCCATCTCGATCTCGGAGTGCGTTTGCGAGGATAGAGAGGGGGAATAACCATGAACTAGAGGTGGCTCGCTAACCTTTCAGAGTGTCTGAATACTTGAGCGCCTGCACGGCTTACGATCACAGCGCCTGTTCGTCGCGCATCACGCATACGCATACGTTATCACGCGCGCGTTTACACCGACGTTGGGTTGCATCATTGGCGTTTTTGTTTGATCCTTGCCACGTGCTGGGCGTAAGTGAACGTGCGCGTTGATGCTCAGGGCACGCCCGTCTGCTGGCGCGACCATCTCCGTTGGCCCCGACAGCCCGCAAATCGATGTTGCAGGCGGGAAGCGGCGAACGCAAAACCGATCCCCAAGAAGAATCACGCAATGGTTCTCCGTGGCGCTTGCTCTCGCGCCCCCCCACCCTCAGAAACCAGCGTGGTTGTCCGAGACAGCGGGCCTACGTCACGCTTGAGCGCATCGCAGCGGTCGGTTGGTGCTCTGGCAGCGCTTCTGCAGCTATCAATGGGCGGCACTCCCCCGCGTGGCGTTCATCCCCGAGGAAGTCTTCACAACCCCAATGACAACCCAAGGCGGCCCAAGATCGCCCCAAGACGGCTCCGAGATGCCTCGGGATCTGCCCGAGAAGGCCCAGAGACATCGTGTACAGGGAGACCCCCAGGCGCACGATGAAGCCCCCAGTAGCTCCCAAAGTATCCCCAAGGGGAACGCCAGCACGGCTCAGGGAAGCCAACCGCAGCGAAATTCAGTCGTGATATCCTTTCCCAAGCTCTTCGGCCGAAGGTGGCCCCATGTAGGTCCCAGAGACCCCGCGACGCCTTGGGAGCACCTCAGGCAGTACGGCGAATCTGCCGCAGGCATCTGAATATCCATGGGCGTGCCGCAGGCATTTGGGTATAGGTACACATGCGATGCCCCCCGCGCGTCAAAGTGCACACAGGGATACCATGGTATCGAGCACAACAGAGCAGACAGTAATCCCACCAGCCCTCTGGGCGGAGGTGGGTGAAAACGCTCAAGCGGCCTCCTAGAAGGCTCGGTATGATTCCGCATGGTCCACGGCGACCTCCATCACGCCTCCGACATGACGGCCGCAAGTGTTGTCGGAGTCACCCGCGGACTCTCACAAGAAGCCCAAGTATTTCAACCCCCTTTGCAGTGGTGTTCCCAACCATCCTGTGGTGTTGGGTTCTCGTGTTTGAAGAGACAGCGCCCTGCGTTCTCCTCCCGCCTCCTTCCTCTCTCCTCCCTCCTCTCATACTCCCCCTCCTTGCCTCTGTCCTCATCGTCATCATCATCATCATCATCATCATCATCATCATCTTCACCACCATCATCAGCATCATGATAGTCATCATCATCACCACCATCATCATCATCATTATCATCATCAGTGGCCCCAGCGGCACAGGCCGCATGCGGTCTACCCCCCATTTCGGCGCATCTCTCACACGCTTCGTGGCCCCCATAGGGAGCTCCACCGCAGGCCCCAGTTGCACAGGCGGTATGCAGTTCCACCTTCCATTTCGGCGCACCCCTCACACGCTTCGTGGCCCCCATAGGGACCTCCATCGAACGCCCCAGTTGCACAGGCCGCATGCAGTTCTACCCTCCATTTCGGCACACCTCTCACACGCTTCGTGGCACCATGGGGGGTGGGGGGCTTCACCGAAGGCCCCAATTGCACAGGCCGCATGCAGTTCCACCCTCCATGTCGGCGCACCTTTCACGCGTTTCATGGCCCCCATGAGCTCCACCGAAGGCCCCAGTTGCACAGGCTGCACGCAGTTCCACCCCTCGCTTCGGTGCACCCTTCATTCGTTCGGCCGCAGTGGCACAGGCCGCATGCAGTTCCACCCTCCGTTTCGGCGCTCCTCTCACACGCTTCGTGGCCCCCATAGGGACCTCCATCGAAGGCCCCCGTTGCTCAGGCCGCATGCAGTTCCACCCCAAATTTCGGCGCAACCCTCATACGGTTCGTGGCACCATAGGGAGCTCCACCGAAGGCCCCAATTGCACAGGCCGCATGCAGTTCCACCCTCCATTTCGGCGCACCGTTCACACGTTTCGTGGCTGCATACGCACGCGCCACACGTCTCGTGGCCCCATAAGAGTGTCCACCGAGGGTCCCAGCGGCAGGGTCCGCATGCAGTGCCACCCCCCTCTTCGGCGCATCCCTAACAAAGAGCTCCACCGAAAGCCTCATTGGAAAAGGCCGCATGCCGCCGACAGGCCACTTTGGTACACCCGTCAAACGAAACGGTTCGTGGCCGCATGAGGGGGGTCCGCCGAAGATGGTTCTCACAATTGCGGTACTTATCACTGCTTCTGGTTGGGTCCTTCGCCAGGCTTAGTCTGGCGAAGGACCCAACCAGAATGCAAATTAGTAGTTTGCAATGCTTTGGCCTTTTCGCCTTTCCGCTTCAAATCAGCGTTCTTTCAGGAATGTGCCCAGGAGGCTGCAGACCCTGGAATATTCCTCATTTGATGAGGGCGGCCGTTCTACAATTGGAATTCCACCGGCTTCCAGACCAATGCTTCTCACCGTAGTCAGCTCCTTGACGGCATTGCGATGATCGAGCGATTATTATGATTCATTGGCTTACGCCGCACCGCAGACCCCTTGGGGCGGCAGCAAGAGTGAACGACAGAATTCGCGGAACTGGCGCGATCGCTGGGCAATCTTCGGGTTTCGACTTGTCCTACGTAGCGTGTGGGGTTCAACGGGGGGCCTTGTAGGGAATTGTTTTGAAGTTTTTCGTGGTCCTATGTGAGTTTCTTGGGGCCTTCGCAGGGTCTGTCCCAGGCCTCCTTGTCCACCTCCTGGACAGGCTCGGGGATCGTTGAGACCCAGCTTGGGTTGCGTCCGGCCAGAAGTTCGAGAGTGGACCCAGCTGTGTCGACGAGGAGCTTCCTGAAGGCCCAGAGGGAGCGGAGAGCGCCCAAGAATTAGAAGTCTCATGCCTCGAGCCTCGATCCACCCCGTGTTCCTTCCTTGGCGAAGGGGTGGCACTTGCCAGGGAGGTCGATCCTCACCCCGGATTTTCGGCGGTGGTCCCCGGCACCGAAAACGGTTCTTGGAGGCTGAATTCGAGGAGATGCTTCGGGTGGTCGAAAGACAGCGAAAATCTGCGAGACATCGCCGGCGACGACGAAATCTTCTTTCTTTTGTTTCCTCTTCCTCCTTCTCTTCCTCTTCCTCGTCCTTCTCTTCTTCTTCCCGATCGAGGTAGATGCCCGCGGCAGTTCATATATGTCTGCCGGCGGAAGGGGATCGGGGCCGCCATGCCGGTACTTGCGCCCCCCATGGCCGCTCCGGGGCTCCGGGAGCGCTCCTGTCCGGGCCAAGAGGCGGCCAAGACGTGCCCAGGGAGGCGCAAGTGGCCCCCAAACCGGTCCTACACGGCACCGGGGCGCTCAAAGATTGCCCCTGGACGCTCAAGATTGCTCCCATTGAGCCCAAGAAGCCGCTACAACGCCCCAAGTTGCTTTCCAAGAGAGCCCCAAGCGGCCAAAATCATTGATTTTGCATAGGAAAACGTGCATTTGTAGCATCTACATCTTTTCGGTGTTCACGGCGTGCACGAGGGTACAAGAGGCCCCCACGACGGCCCCAAGACGGCCCAAGAGGCTCCCAACACGGCCCAAGAGGAGCCCAAGACAGCCCCAGAGGCGGCCAAGGCGTGCTCAAGAGGCGGCCAAGACGTGTCCACGGAGCCCCAAGAGCCTCCCAAACGTTCCATGGTGGCCCCGGGGCGCTCAAAGCTAACCCTTGGACGCCCACGACGGTTCTCACAGTGCCCAAGAGACCGCGAAGACGCCCTAAGAGGCCCCCAAGAGGCTTTCCAAGAGGGCCCCAAGAGGCCAACATCATTGATTTTGCCAGGGGAAACGTATATTCTTAGCATCCACGACTTGTCGGTCTTCACAGCGGTGACGACGGTACAAGAGGCCCCAAAGAGAGTCCCAAAACGGCCCAACAGGCTCAATAGACGTCCCGAGAGGGGGCCAAGACACCCCAAGAGGTCCCCAATACGACCTAGGAGAGCTCAGACGGCTCCAAGAGGAGCCCAAGAGGAGGAGGAACAAGGAATGAGGAAGAGGCAGGAGGAAGCAGATAAGGTTGACCCCATTATCCATGACAGCTGTGTTGTCTCAGTGCGGTCAGCACTCGATCAGCTAGAACCTATGCGCGCGCGAAGCGCGCGCGACGGTTCTACATGTACATATATATACACATGTGTATATATACACATATATATATATATACATATACATATATATATATATATACATATATATATATATGTATAAAAGTATACATGTATGTATATTTACACACATCTATATAGCTATATCGAAGACGCCTACGGCGAATCACCGCCGCCCCCTGCCTTTTTGGAAACGCCTATGTGGCCGAACGTTGTGGCCAGAGGCCTGCCAAGCTATCGGACCATGTGTTCCCCGAGTCGGTTTGGAAAGCGTTCGGGGAACACGGTGGGGGAGGAGGAAGAAGAGGAGGAGGAGGAGGAAAAAGGAGACGGGAGGAGGCCTCGTGGGAGCCCCTTGGGCTACTCAAGGGCTCTCTTGGGCCAAATTTGCGGTCGTGGAGGCATCTGGGGGCTGCCTTGGAAGCCATTTTGGGGCTACATTGGGGCTTCGTGGGCCCATCTTGATCATCTTGGGCGCATCTTGGAGGCCATCTTCGGCCACGTTGGCCGTCTTGGAGGCGTCTTGGGACCGTCTTGGAGGCCATCTTATGCGTCTTGGAGGGGTCGTTCGTGGGCTTTGAGGTCCTGTATGGTCTCTCCGTCGCTGTCGAGAAACAGCAAACGCCCAACTCCTTCAAAGCCCTAAGGAAAAGCAATTATGTTGGTCTCTTCGGGCCCTCCTGGACGACCTCTTGGAGGCCTCTTGAGCCGTCTTGGTCGCCTTTGGGGGGCCTCTTGGGCAGTCTTAGGCCGTCTTCGATGCATCTTGGGCCGTCTTGGAGGCATCTTGGAGCCATCTCAGCCGTCTTGGAGG